CAAAACAAAAAACCTCAAACGCATATCCCTCAGACTTTGACAGAGGAGAACAACGCTGCTGGACAACAAGTTACTATGCATCAATTGTTTGGGTAAACTGCCTACGCATATATGCTTATTCCATAATCAGTGCAAAGCAGCTTACCTGTTTTTCACCAAGAGTAAGCTACTTTGAATTACCTTTCAAGCACCGCATGGTAAAGCACGACACATTGGCACAACTGCTGGCACGTGTCAAAGCTCTGTTTGCTATACTCAGGCAGAGGAATTTCTGACTCAGAGTACAGATAAAAATCTAAGTCAAACAAGCAAAGTTTATTAATAATGTCAGAATTGAAGATGAGGACATCATACTTTAAAATAAATGCCTTCTTGAAAAGTAAAATGAAATTGCCTTTAAATTTGTGAAAACAGCACTCCAAGTTCTACACTAGAAGAAAAAGGTAACTCCAAGTTCTACACTAGAAGAACATTTATTTACCATGTTCAATGTATCTCAGCTTCTAGAAATATAATTATTTGAAGTTTCAATCATTATCATTTAACTACTTCTAAAGAAAGGAAAATCACCTCATCTGTATACAAGTATTTGTATGGGGTAGTCTGTAACTACAACAGAAAACTTTTACAAAGAAACTTCAAATCCACGCGTGGGTGTACAAATTGCTAAGAGTATTATAAAAACACTTTACTATGCCATAATTTATGTAGGAAAGCATTCGTCTTACATATTGTATGCTTTCTATAAATCAACAAATAATAAAAAAAACCACACACACACACAAACTTCATAACCCATAAATCAGTTGTTTGTAGAAGTTCATAGGAATACTACCACTAGGGTCAAGATAGCTATTTGCTGAAAACCATGAAGTTAGAAGAGATACTACAGAGAACAAACCTAACTTTAATTTCACAATTTTTTATCTAAATAAAACATAAGATTTAGCTACATACAGTTCCAGAGAGCACATCATGAGGGCAGCAGTTGAGAAGGTGACTCTTGCACACTCTGTCATCACTAAATTTGATTCGCTGGCGGGTCGTGTCACCTGCAATATAGAAATCAACACATTCCAGGTGAGATACCTGGAGAAGCCAGACATGTTCTGCAAGTTACATGCAAAGCATTAACATTCCCCTGTTACATAGTGAAAACCTATGGAAACTAGAACTTAAAATGCTATATGGTTCTTGGCCAAAAAACAAACAAACAAAACAAAACAAAAACAAAATACACATTTAAATGCTACAAAATGCTATTTAAAAACGCTTTCAACTTCCCCTTCAAAAACACAGCATGAGAAGTGCTTAAAACCAGAAGGACAGTATTAGCTTAAATACACTTCGCTATGACAGCAGTTGTGAAAGGAGCTATATAACGCTCTATTCAGATTCTGCATGAAATTGTGATGTATTTGTATGTAACAGGTAGCATATAAAGCAGCCTCAAACACATAATGATACACATTGAGAGTCTTCTCTGAATCCCACCTGATACTCATTCTATTATTTTGTTCTTGGATGCAAAGCACCCTCTTACTTCTGATGGGAGTTGCATAAAGAGTTGGCAGAAGAATGTATTTAAATGCTTACAAACCTGGAAAAAAAATCAGTCAAACATATGGACAAGGCCTACATGCAACATTTTACATAAGTCTGAATATCCCCATCTCATAAGCCGTATTTTTTTCTACATGCTGCTAGGCTGGGAACATCTTAATTATATCTTCATCATGGCAGGTTGTAGTTCCTGCATCAGCAGAAGCATCAACCTGCCCACACACTGAGGTCCAAATGCAAATTTAAGTAATCCCATCTGGAAGCAAGACCTGAAGTCTTCAGACCAAAATAACTAGCTGATATTTTCGGAGTGGGGAAGGGAATAGGTTTTCCTTCATGTCATAATGTAATTGTCACTGTTCAAGATTTGGAAGCGAGATCACTATCATGGCTCTCTTGCTGTTAAGATACAGCCATTGTAAAGCACCTTGATCTCTCAGGATGTATCTACTTACTTACTAAAAAAAGTAACAACCTCTAAAAAAAAAAAAATCTCTAATCTTTGAAAACCTACTGGTGAATTACTGAAGCAAGGAGGGCTGCTGAAGGAAAAAATATGTAGAATGAGTTCAGATTGCAACCTTCTGCTTCTCATGAAATATTTCAAGTGTGGCTATTTTTTGCAGTTTAAGTAATTACAGCTTCATTAGCATTTAACCTCAAATGCTGAGAATTTTGAATCTATTCAATGATTTTAGAAGCCAACCCATTACTTAGATAACTATAACAAAGGGGAAAAATAAACATGCTCTTACTAGTCAAGCCTTTCTCACTATTATATAATCAGATTTTTAAATACCACTTCTACGCATAAGATGCTAACATATAACATTTTCAGATGGGCAAAGTTTCAAAATCTCAAGCAAACAAAAGTTTGCAAAACACCACACACTTAATTTGCCTGCAGGATACAACCCCATTAAAACCAGTACCCCCAAGCTAGAACAGCTTCAAAGCAGTTCAACAATAGGTTTTCTGGAGGGCAAGTCTAGTGTTACTTACAATAATAAAAATTTAGAGCAATCCCTTTATAATCATGCCTGCTACTGCAGTAAGAATTTGAGTTTTGTTTTCGTTTTCCTTTTTGGGGGGTGGATCCATTTTGTTTTTTAAACACATAACTGCGTTTGTTCCACATTCATTAACACATCTGAAAAGTTAGCGATAACTCACGGCTCGGCGAATGCGGGGCCTTTCTGACACTCCCTTGCAGATTGATGTAGGCAGGCAAAGATACATTGAACCTTTATAAATAAAACAAGGGGCCAGATTGTTCAGTTTGTATAGAATAATAGACTCCGCCAGCAATTTTAACACAGCATCTAGAAATACATGTTGACTGTAAAGCTCCTTCTAGGTAAAAACAAATGAACAAAAATCAAGTAAAGTAATTTTTTAAAAAGACAACTAATGGCCTATGAGTACTAATCTATCAGGAGGGATACTGAGATTAGAAAAATCTCTGAAAGACTCAGGGTTCCTTAGGTAAAGGGAGAACGAAACATTTTCAGAGATGTTACCTCAACAGCTAGAGATTTTTTTTTTTTTTCATACCTCTACCACAAGTAGCAACTGACCCCCCAGCTGCAATACCACCTCTCTCATTTTTTCCATTTAAGTGGCTACTGTGACAGTCACAATTACCACTAAAGCAGGATAAAACAATACAGAAAAAACTGGTAGCAGAAATGGAAGAAATGGCAGCCTTAAGAATGTGTTCCATATTCACATTTTAATTGGCACTTATTTTTTCCCCGCACTGTGTCTTTGGACCAGTATCTAACGGTCTTCCAGATCAGTTCTCTTACACAGAAAATTCAGATATCCACCTTCTCCTTCTCATGGAAGGCAGTCTCATCATACATTTGTCTTCCCCTCCCGCCTTAATCTATGCTATTTCAGTGTCATGTACTATGCCCTAACAATGACCGAATTCTGTATCCCTCTAGCACCTCATTCTAGAGCCTGATAGCCTCAGAAGACATTGCTTTTATTTCCTTCACGCATTTTGTGAGCGCCAATATCCCAAAACAGAAGTGCAGAAGTGTTGGCAAAGACAGAAGGTGCATTCTGCTGCTGACCTACAGATGAGCCATCTTGAGAAGGTGACCACCTCTGTGGTCTATATAGTTTGCTAGGGAGAATCTACAGAACCGCTATACACCTGATGCTTAGCCTAACGCAAAAGACTCTTGCAGATGCTTTCTAAAGATTCAAATAATATAGACGTGAATAAAAGTGTTCTTAAGCCAAGGATTTCGGTGGCGCTTCTGATAACCAAGATACTACTTCTCTTTGTCTAACTGAATTTAAGTCGATGCGCTCTTTGTATGGCCAAGCAATCAAGCAAACATTAAGTGGCATTTGAGCATTACAGAATTAAAAAAAGCTTTGTGCGTTTTTTTTTTTTTTTTTTTAATAAGAAAAAAATACATCTAGGTACCAAGTAGCTGCAGTCATTTAAACTTAAGGTATCCTTTCCCATTCATGAACGAACAGGAGACTATTCACTGATATTTCAGACCCTATTACAAGTTCTATTTTAATAGGTAACTCATTAAATTAGCTCAGAACAGCACCTTATTTAATCCTGTCTCCGTAGGGTAGCACAGTATTCAACTGCTTGATCTTTAGGACTTAAACTCATTAAAGAAATCAGAAAGTAATTTGCCAGTGCATCACAGGAGTCAACATCCATTACTACAAGTCATTCTAGTGTTTCCAATTAGATTTTGCCATAAAAAGCAAAGAATTTATATAGAAACAAACAAAAATTTTTACCTAAAGAAGCAGCAGCTTTAGTTTCACTCAAAGTATCTGGCCCAAACCACATTTCTATAATGTGTTACTTTCAGGATGAAGAGAGAAACTTGAAATAGAATTTAAACCATTTGAAAGAAAAAAAGCCAAATATCAAGGAAATTTCTATGCTTGCACATATCATATCCTTTATGAACGTAAGGAAACTGCAGACCTCTACACTAGAGACACAAATATTAGGATACTATCTTAACAGATGGCAGCAGTAATGGAAAACTTTTAAAGGAAGTTTTCCCAAGTTTGTTAAACATGCTAACTACAAAAGTAACGTCAATATTTAAGACCAATACATACTACTGATTAAAGAACATCCAAAGCACAATATCATAATGTGCAATTGTAACTACAGAATTTATTTCAAATTTCCAAATTTAAGCTTTCAACAAGCCTCCACAACTTCGTTTCCCTTCAATATATTTTGATTGCAAATCAGTGGAACAAACATGCCGGTATCAACAATGCTTAGTGCTAACTGCTTATAACAATTATTTGATTCATCATCTCTGCCTATTCTGATGTAGCCTAACACACTACTAACAACAATCCTGGTGCATGGAGGAGAATTACCCTTTGAAATCAAACTGTAACCTCCAATTACAAACACATGGTGAAATCCACGCAAAGACAGCAATGTGCATTTTCATTTTCACGCTGTTAACTCCCTGTGTTAAGTTACATCAACCAAAACCGGCTGGGTTTGCGCTCAAATTTTTGAAGCATGAGTTCCAGTATTTTGGCAAGGGATCTCAAAAATTTCTTCATAAAGAGCTATTAACTGGATGGAATACTGGTTAAAGACTGAGTATCAAGTTTCATCTGCAAAGGAAGAGCCTTGTATAACAATACTTCAGCATCATTACTTAATTCCTGCTTAAATGAGGCTTATGCAGTCAAAGAAGATCCTGTTCCTGCTACAGACTGAATAGGCAGCTAATTCTGATATTTTTGACATTAATGCTGGACACATTTTTACCATAATACATTCAGAATAACACATCTCTAGCCAATATTTCTTCCGATTTACAATATGACTGAATTAACACTGGTAAATACAGAATATAAATTAAAAAGAAAATGGTTTCCCAATTAAGGACTTACAAGTGAACAAATGCAGGAATGATATTCTATGAGGCCAAAATATGCCTATTTGCGTCTTCATAAATGTCTTTCCAAACCATGGTCCCAAATCGAGAGTGGAAAAGATTCCTCAAGTCCTTTACTTTTCCCCTTATTTTTAAGGGCTGAAGTACCAGAAATTTACACCGAGTCACCAAACGCACACAATTCATTAAAAATATCATTGCTCTTAGAGCCTTCTCATCAGTCGTGATTATCAAATAAAGAATCTGTCATGAAGTTTGTTTTACTACTACTACTTTTAGATTTCCGAGCTGATATCAACTCAACATTTTGTTACCTTTTGAACACATTTATAGGGACAAGATATTTTCTGCCTTCATTTTGCCGCTGCTCCATATTTGAAACGAGGGTCCTCAGGGGGAGGTTCTTGCCTTCCTAATCTGCCTCTCAGCCTAAAGCTATCCAAATGGCTAGCCGTGTACTCCAGTCACAGACAACAAAGTACTGAAACTCACTTCAAAAGCATAAACTATCTTTCACCTCACAGTGCAAACCTTACAAGGTTGAAAAAAATACATCTATGCACCCT